CACACACACACACACACACACACACACACACACACACACACACACACCCCCCCCACAGGCCATGCTTAATACAATACATTACTCTGACCTATGAACCAGACCAGAATATTTAGTAGCCAGCAGTAACCTAATGACTATAACTTTTGAGCCTCTCTCAGTTCAACGCTGTACATTAACTTGACCTTGCATGACCATTGCAGAGAAAGAAGAACACCAGAAACTGGGGCTGGAAGTTCTATTTGCAGTCTTAGATTTTTCTGGTTGCACTGAGAACATAACTGCTTGGAAGTACTTGGCGAAGTACCTGAAACAAATAATGATGGAGTAAGTATGAAGTATCTTACATAGCTGAGACAGCAGAAACACAATGGTCCAGGATTCTGGCTAGTCCCAGTGATGTAGGAAAAGTAAGAGGATTTGTATCTTGTCAATTTTAACAGGTTCTCATTTCTTTTTTTTTTTTTTTTTAGTATTTTGTTTTTTCCCCAATTACATGTCAAAACAATTTCTAGCATTCATTTTTGTAAGATTTTGAGTCCAATTTTTTCTCCCTCCTTCCCTCCCCTCCCTTCCCTCCTCTTTTCCGAAAATGGTAGGCAATTTGATATAGGTTATGCATGTGCTATCATGTAAAAACATATTTCCATATAGGTCATAGTTGTGAAAGAAGATCAAAAGGAAAAAAATGAAAAAGAATAAAGTAAGTGAAAAAAGTATGCTTCAATCTTCATTCAGAGTCCATCAGTTCTTTATCTGTATGTGGTTAGTATTTTCCTTCATGAGTCCTTTGTATTTGTCTCGGATCATTGTGTTGCTGAGAAAAGCTGAGTCATTCATAGTTGATCATCACACAATGTTGCTGATAGTGTGTACAATATTTTCCTGGTTCTGTTCATTTCATTTTGCATCAGTTCATGTAAGTCTTTCCAGGTTTTTCTGAAATCTGCCTGCTCATCATTTCTTATTGCATAATAGTATTCTATTACATTCGTTTACCACAGCTTGTTCAGCCATTCCTCAGTTGATGGGCATCCCCTCAATCTCCAAAATTTTGCCACCACAAAATGACAGCTATAAATATTTTTGCACATGTAGGTCATTTTCCCTCTTTTATGATCTCTTTGGGATCTCTTTGGGCTAGTAGTGGTATTACTAGATCAAAGGGTATGCAGTTTGGTTGCCCTTTGAGCATAGTTCCAAATTGCTTTCCAGAATGGTTAGATCAGTTCACAACTCCACTAACAGTGCATTTAGTGTCCCAATTTTCCCACACCCTCTCCAACATTTATAATTTTCCTTTTTTGTCATATTAGCCAATCTGATAGGTGTGAAGTGGTTCCTCGCAGTTGTTTTAATTTGCATTTCTCTAATCAAAAGTGATTTAAAAGACTTCTTCATGCTTATAGATAGCTTTGATTTCATCTGAAAACTGCCTTTTCATATCCTTTGACCATTTATCAATTGGGGAATGGCTTATATTCTTAAAAATCTAATTCAATTCTCTATATATTTAAGAAATAAGACCTTTATCAGAGATATTTGCTATAAAGATTGTTTCCCAGCTTTCTGCTTTCCCTCTAATCCTGGTTGCATTGGTTTTATTTGTGTAAAAGCCTTTTAATTTAGTATAATCAAAGTTATCTCTTTTATATTTCATAATGCTCACTATCTCTTGTTTGATCGTTGTCTATAGTACCTTTTAGCAAGATGTAGTTTCCTTCCTTATTTCTTTTTAATTAAGTCTATTTTTGCTTTTGCTTTGTCTGAGATCAGGATTGCTACCCCTGCCTTTTTTCTTTTTTTTAAACTTTAGCTGAAGCATAATGGACTCTGCTCTAGCCCCTTACCTTTACTCTGTGTGTGTGTCTCTGCTTCAAGTGTATTTTTTTTTTTTTTTTTTGGCTAGGCAGTGGGGTTAAGTGACTTACCCAGGGTCACACAGCTAGTAAGTATCAAGTGTCTGAGGCTGAATTTGAACTCAAGTTCTCCTGAATCCAGGGCCGGTGCTCTATCCACTGCGCCACCTAGCTGCCCCAAGGGTATTTCTTGTAAAGAACAAGTATTTGTAGGGTTCTGGTTTTTGATCCACTCTGCTATCCACTTCTGTTTTATGGGAGAGTTCATCCCATTCACATTCACACTTATGATTACTAACTGTGTATTTCCCTCCATCCAATTTTTCCTCCTGTTTGTCCTCTCTCTCTTTCATCCTTTCCTTCCTTGACAGTGTTTTTCTTCTGTCTACCACTTCCCTGCCCCCATCTGCCTTCTCTTGTCAGTTCCCACTCCCTCCCCCTTTTCTTTTTTTTTTTTTCCTCCCCCTTTTCTTAACCTTCTCCCCTCCTACTTTCCTGTTGGGTAAGATAGATTTCTATATTCAACTGATTGTGTATATTGTTCCCTCTTTGAGCCAATACTGATGAGAGTAAGGTTCAAGTGATGCCCATTGCCCACCCTCCCATCTTTCCCTTCACTTTAATAGGTTTCTCGTGCCTCTTCATGTGAAATGGTTTATCCCATTCTACCTTTCCCTTCCTTCTGCACCCAGTGTACTCCTTTTTCTAATCTCTTAATTATTTTTGATGTCATTTCCTCAAATTCACCTTATACCCGTACCCTCTGTCTATGTATATTCCTTCTAGCTATACTATTAGTAGTACAGTTTTTAAGAATTACAAGTGTCATCTTCCCATGTAGGGATTTAAACAGTTGAGCTTCATTGACTCCTGTATGTTTTCCTTTCCCTTTTTACCTTTTTAGGCTCTCTCGGTCTTGATATTAGACATCAATTTTTGTTTAATTCTGGTCTTCTCCTTATGAAAGCTTGAAATCCTTCTATTTCATTGAATGACCATTTTTTCTCTTAAAGTATCATGCTTAGTTTCACTGGGTAGGTGATTCTTGGTTGTAGTCCTAGCTCCTTTGCCTTCTGGAATATCATGTTCCATGACCTCTGATACTTTAATATTGCAGCTGCTGAGTCATGTGTAATCCTAATTGTGGCTTCCTGATATTTGAATTGTTTTTTTCTGGCCACTTTCAGTATTTTTTCCCTGACCTGATGGTTCTGTAATTTGGCTATAACAGGGATGCGGACCTGCAGCCTCGAGGCCACATGTGGCCCTCTAGGTCCTCAAGTGCAGCCCTTTGACTGAATCCAAACTTCACAGAACAAATCCCCTTAATAAAAGGATTTGTTTTGTAAGACTTGGACTCAGTCAAAAGGCCTCACCCAAAGACCTAGAAGGCCACATGTGGCCTCGAGGATGCAGATTCCCCACCCCGGGCTATAATGTTCCTTGGAGTTTTTATTTTGAGCCCTCTTTGCTGAAGTGATCAGCGTATTCTTTCAATGCCTCTTTTGCCCTCTGGTTGCAGGATATCAGGGCAGTTTTCCTTGATAATTTCTTACAAGATTCTGTCTAGGTCCTCCTATCGATTATGACTTTCAAGTTGTCCAATGATTCTGACATTATCTCTTGTTTTTCCAGCATCCAATGTCCATTGTCAGTTGCTTTTCCAATGAAGTATTTTACATTTTCTTCTATTTTTTTCATTCTTTTGAATTTGTTTTGATCGATTCTTGTTGTCTCATAGAGCCGTCAGCTTCTTGCTAACCTGCCCAGTTCTAACTTTTAAGGAGTTGTTTGCCTCAGTTAGCTTTTGTACTTCCTTTCCCATTTGGCCAACTATACTTTTTAAGGAGTTGTTTTCTTCCATGGATTTTTGTATCTCCTTTTCCATTTGGCCAGTTCTACTTTTTAAGCAATTGTTTTCTTTTTCTAAGCTGTTGAATTTTTTCATAATTCTCTTGCATCATTCTCATTTCTTTTCCCAATTTTTCTTCTGCCTGTCTTATATGATTTTTAAGCTCCTTTTTGAGCTCTTCCATAAGTTCTTTCTGGGCTTGAGATTACTTCCCATTTATCTTTGGGGCTTTGCCCATAGGAATTTTGACATTCTTGTCCTCTTCTGAGTTTGTGTCTTGGTCTTCCCTGTCACCATAATAACTTTTTATGGTCAAATTTTTTTGTTGTTTTTTTTGCTCATCTTTTTTGGCCTTTTTCCTTTCTTTTAAATTTGAGCTTTCCTTCTAGGATGGAAGGGGTACTGTCTCAGGCTTCTTGTGCCAGTGGCTGCAGGCCCTGACCGTTTACCTGCTGCTGTTTACCTACCACCTGGTGTTGTACTGATGTTGCCCTGAGGCCTGTGGGGGACCCTCCTATGTGGTGCTATACTGAGGGGGTGTCGTAGGGGATGGCTGGTGCTGCTGGAGGCTGTAGGGGTCTGGCAGCTTACCTGGTGCTGAGCTGGAGTCTGAGTGCTGCTCTCTGATGTGTGCTGAGGCTGGACCAGTGAGGTGTTTCTGTGTTTCCCCAGGTTACTCTGAAGCACATGGCAGTTTGGCCACTAGAGGCTATGTTTGCCAGAGGCTATGCTGAAGCATATGGCTGGCAACTGCCTGTTTGCTTAGGCACCCATAAGGTTGGTGGCTGCCTGTTTGCCCAGGGCTATGCTGAAGCTCATGGAGGTCCAGCCACTTGAGGTTGCCTGTTTGCCCAGGGCTATGCCGAAGCTCATGGTGGTTCTTGGACGTGGAGTCTGCCTGTTCCCCTGGCTATGCTGAGGCACATGGGAGTCCTGGTGTTGGTGTTTGCCTACTCCACCGCACTGGGGCTTAGGATCTCCTGCTGGTTTGCGAAGGTGGGGCTTTCTGCTGGCTTGCAGGGATGCTTCCTGTCCTGGACTTTGCTCCCCTTTTACCCAAGTGAGACAGATCTTTCCTGCCAATCTTCCAAGTTTTTTGGGCTAAAATATTGCTTTGCCCCATCTTTTTGCTGGTTCTGCTGTTTCAGGATTTGTTTTGGGGTACTATTTTGTGATTGTTTGGAGGTGAACATGAGAGGGTTACGGTGATTTACTGCTTACTCCAATGAACATTTCCTAAGTGCCTGCTATGTCAGGTTTTCATTTCTTATACTTTAGCTTTCTCTACCAGTGCTTTAACATCTCTTCAGGGCCTTTCAGCTTCATGAAGTACAAAGCCTGAAGCTAAAAGGCCTATTGTTTATTCTTGTGGGGTGAATAGAGATTGTCATGCTATCCAACTGAGTGTGTTATCCTAGCAATACACTGCCTTGGGCATTTGAATGTCTAGTTTGAGTTGAGTGAATAAGGACTCCTAAGTGAGTACCCTATGCCCGTGTACTGTAAGAAAATGACTTGTTATGTTAATGGTAATATCTTTCCATAACTTTTAAAATCCTGCAGAAGAATTCTTCCATGGCATAGGTTCGAAAGAGAGAAAAACTCATGCAGCTAGTATAATAATAGTGTACTATTTTTTTCATCTTCCTGCATGACTCTTATCTCACTGGAGGGTGGCTTCAATCCTGATACCTCTGGCCATGTTATATTTGGTGGCATATTCAGAAAAATGGGCTTCTTCTTGTTAGCCTTTTTTCTTTCTTTTCTTTTTTTACCTTTCATTACATGCCAGTATAGGAAGAAGAAGGAAAACATCTGAATTTTTTCTTGTATAGTTTTTAAAAAAAATACCTATTACATTTTTGTGAGAAGCTTAATTTTTTTCTGGAATTGATCTTTAATGATCAGATAATTACCTGGTTTGGTACATTTAACCAAATCTCTAAATATTGATTCTTTGAGGATTAATAGTTGATTCTTTGGTGGAGTATGGTGTGTAGAGGCACTTTATAAAACTAAGATGTTATAAACCCTAGGTATGTTAGATGCTTACCTTCAAAAATCAAACGATTTGTCTTGTGTTTTTTGTAAAATAGGATTACTGAGCTCTTTTTGTGGTGGTAAAGAACTGGAAATTGGGGGAATGCCCATCAATTGGGGAATGGCTGAACAAGTTGTGATATATGAATGTAATGGAATACTACTGTGCTATAAGAAATGATGAGCAGGTGGATTTCAGAAAAACTTGGAAAGACTTACATGAATTGTTGCTGAGTGAAGTGAGCAGAACCAGGAGAACATTCTACATAGTAACAGTAATACATAGCTGCAATAATCAGCTGTGATTGATTCAGTTCTTCTCAGCAATACAATGTTCCAAGACAATTCCAAAAGACTCATGATGGAAAATGCTATCTACATCCTGAAGAAGAACTATGGGGTCCGAATGCAGATCGAAGAATACTATTTTCACTTTTTTTTTGTGGCTTTTCCCTTTTGTTCTGTTTCTTCTTTTATAACATGACTAATATGGAATTATGTTTCCATGATTGCAGATGTATAACCTATATCAGATTGCTTGTCATCTTGGGTAGGGAGGAGGGAAGAGAGAGAAGGAGAAAAATTTGCAACTCAAAATCTTATAAAAACAAATGTTGGAAACTATCTTTACATATAATTGGAAAAAAATAAAATACCATTTACAAAATGGAGAATAAGATAAAATAATAAACAAAAAATTGAATTGTTGATTAAGATGGTAGATCTTGCTAGCATATATACTCATGAAGTGAGGTTGCTGAGTAAAATTTTTCCTGAGTGGATGAATGAAAAATAAGGAAGTTAGATGGCAAGTTAATAAAATGATTTATTTCCATAATGTTCTCCCTCATATGTGGTGCTAATTTAAAAATGTTTTCCTTTCTGTTTTTCAAATGCTTTATTAAAGTTAGTCTGTTTTCTGGCCCTACACTCCCTCTCCCCATTTTTCTTCTTTAGAAAGCACCTCAACTGGGTTCAGGAGGGGTGGAGTTCTAGAAAGGACTGGTGGCCAACATTTCACTTCAGCTACTATCTAGCAAAAAAGAATTGGAAGGAAAATAAGATCCTGGCACTGGAAAAAGCTTTCACATCTGGAATACTGTTGGGAAAAGGTATGTGCCTTTTATTCCTCTGTCCTATGTCAAGTATATCACTATGAGAGTATGAGAGTTTACTGTTGACCTCAAGTCCCAAGAATATTTATCTGTATAGCTGCTTTAATTGAAATTAGTCAATGGGCAGAGACATACAAGTTTGAATCAAATAGTTATATAATACTCTAGAGACCCTCAGACTTGGTGGTATTGGGTATAGTGTATTGCAAATGGATAGTCTTTTGCCCTCAACAAAGCAGGATGGGGAGGTGATTAGAGATTCAGATAATATGCTTAGCAAGAATCCCTGGGGATCGGGTCTCCCTGTTAAGGGAGTGCCTTGTGCATTTTTATGTGGATGATCATGTTTGACTAGTATTGTTTGACTAGTATTGTTATCTGTTGGTTTAAAATATTATTTCTATGGGACTTTGAGGTGCAGGATGAAGTTGGAAACAGCCTGCTGTCTTAAATGATCTGTCTGTTGCTAGCTTGAAGGTTTTTTGGGGTTCTCTGCTTTTTCCAGTCAGGGAATGAAAGATATAATTTATTAGCCATGTTGCAGTAATAGCAGTAGGGATTCATTTTTTCTTCCAGTGTAGAAAAGACAGCATCTCTCCCATAAAGAAAAGAAATGTGCCTGTTAGCCCAGCAAACAAACCCTCCTAAGAGAAAAGAGGAGACAGTCTTTACTTTGTGAGTTATGCTGGCTGCTTGACAAAACTCTCATTCTCTTGATACCACTTCAGTGTGGAGAGGCAGAGAGCAAGGAAATAAGTGCTGTGCAGTGACTGTTAATGTCAGTTTCCAGCAAAGCATATTTAGTGAGGCTGCTCAAAGAAGACTACACGAGGGTCTCACAGTGATGTTTGCTAAAATATCTGTCTTCCTGGAGTATAAAATTATCCTAAAAAGGTCCTGCCCTTGATTGGATTCCGTAGTTCAATTTATGAGAGATTTATTTTGATTATGATAACTAGCATTGATACGACCCTTTAAGGCTTATAAAACATTTCTCTTACAACAGACTTGAGGGATAGACACTACAGGTTCTACCTGCTAATACTGTAGGTATTAATGCTACAGGGCGGCTAGATGGGATACTGGGTAGTGTGCTGTACCAGGAGTCAGGAAGACTCATCTTCCTGAGTTCAAATCTCACACACTTTGTAGCTGTATGATCCTGGGCAAGTTACTTTTTGCCTCAGTTTCCTAATCTGTAAAATGAACTGGAGAAGGAAATGGCAGCCCACTCTAGTATCTTTGCCACGAAAACGCCAAGTGGGGTCACAAAGAGTCAGACACTGCTGAAATGACTGAACAATAACATTAACACTACAAGTCTATTAATACTACAGGTATTAATATCATTAATTTTTATAGATGAGGAAACTGAGAAGTTAAATGACTTGTCTGTTGTCCTATAGCTAGTAAGTTTCAGAGAGAGGATCCAAGCTCAGATCTCCCTTGACTCTAGTTCTGTTGATCTTTATACTCCAACATCCTCCACCCTCCCTCCACTCCTCCCTATGATATCCTCTTACTTCCCATATAGTTTGGCATCAAGAAATAATTATAAATTCTGGAGTTAGAAGACCTGTGTTTGAGTCCTAACTCTGCCCCCTCTCTACTAGCTGAATGACCTTGGGAAAGTTATTTAGCCTCTCTGGGTCTTAGTTTTCTCACAGACTTATGAGGAAAACACTTTTAGAAAGTAAATTATTATTATTATTACAAATAGTTATATAGCCGAATAAATGATTATTGAATGAATAGCATAGTTTCACAAAGTATTTTTATATTTAATATAGCTTATATGTTTGTGTTTTATATTTAATGTAGCTTATTTAATATGATCTATGAAATACAAGTGTCAACAAATATGACATGTAATCAAACTTAGTGAAATCATATATAACAGTTCGCAAAACAGTGCTGTTTGTCTTTGTAGACATATATGTCTTTGGCGAAATGATTATAATTATAGCTCATATAATTTCAAACCAAGTTGATGAATAAAATTTCCCTGGTCAAGGAGATAACTATTACATATAAATACACCCACACACACATATTTTATATATATATATATATTTATAATACATTTATATTATAATATATTACATCATATAAAATATATATTTGTATTTATATAATATATAATACATTTATATACTATATTATATATTATATAAAATATATATTATATATTTATATGTTTATTATATATTTATAATATATATTTAAATCTTAATGAAGAGGAGCAGAGATTGCTATAATACCCAAGTCATTTAAAGAAATGTGATTCCAAATGTGCAATATATTAATTAAATCTTACTTTGCCAAATTAGTATTTATATCTCAGTGTGGATATTTCTGAGGCTATGGGAATTTAATTCATTCTAGTCTTTGATTAATTCTTATGGATGAAAAGCAACAACCAAAGCAGAGCTGGCCTTCTCATATCTTAGAGTAAGATATATATATTGAAATATATTAAAATATATTGATAACTATAATCCATTATAATTGACTTTCTGTGCAATCCTATGTATTTTATTTTATGCATTTAAGAACATTTTTTCTAAGAAGGGGTTTATAGGCTTCCACCAGATGGCCAAAAGGGGTTCCATGACACAAAAAAAGTTAAAAATCCCTGATTTTTTTTTTTGTGTGTGTGTGATAATACCCAAACTGCCTTTGAGGAAGTCACTATAACTGGTCTCTTTAATAAGGTTCTTTTCATTACCTTGGATTAGGAAAATAAATAACCAATAATTTGCTCAGTGCTTCATGGTAATTTTAAATCCTAAGGTACAGCAAGCCACACAACCTAATTCTTATTATTATTGATTCCTCAAACACTCAGATGGATCGGTAATGTCATCAGCGTGAATAGTCCTTCCCATGATGCTGTTCTAAATCTATCTCGGCCTGTCTGTCATGTGTGATTCTTGTCTATGCCCTCCCCCCAATTCACTACAGAGAGTCTGCTCAAATGCTCTAGAAGTCATTGCTGTCTCCCGAAGGATACCAGGGGAATGTTAGTAGTATGCATCTTTCACTTTGATTGTATCACCCACATGTTATCTTTCCTAATGTTTCCCTGATGACTTCTTTATTCCCATTCTTTTTCAAAGTTCTTCGTTAGTTTTGCAATGTTCATGTGTACCATGTGTCTTTCTGTTACTCTCTGTGTAATATTCTTTTTTCAGTACTTTTGAGACTGTTGCATTTCTTATTTCATAGCCATATAATAGAACCAGTGAAATTTGGTGTTAAAAAGATGGGCCTTTGTTTCTAGAAGAAACTTGGAGTCATGAAAGGAATTTTACAACTTCCTGAAGGCAGTCTATCCCATTCTCAGCCTCTTGTTTAATTCTAGACCTAAATCACTGTCCGTTTGTATTTTTCATCTTTCCATCTCACATACTTACTGATGGACAAACTCTGTAGGTATCTTGCTCTTCTCTCTTCCTCCCCTTGCCCAAGTTCTTAATCTTTGCTCCATGAAACCACTAAGAGCTTTGGTGCAGAAGATACAGAGGAAGGCGTGGGTCATAGAGAATTTAGGTATTTTACTGGTATATGGTATAGTTTTGATTGTGACAGATCACATACAATATATTATATATATGTGTGTGTATAGATATATGTGTGTGTGTTCACCATCACTGAAACAGTTTAATAAATGTTTATTGAATTTTTAAAATAAAAAAAAGCACACACTGTCTTGATGATGGGTTAGAAGCATGACCATAGCATATGAATTTCAGCACATTATATCAGTTACTAATCTTGGAAAGCAATTTTATTCAGTTGTATAGTCACTGGTCTTAGACTCACATTGCTTGTTTGTTTTACATTTATATCTCTAGTATATTCACAATATTCCTATCTAAATCTTTATTTCTCTTCAGGAAAACTCAGCTGGGGCCATCTATCAGGAGCTCCATCTTCTCCTGATACCTATACTTCATATCTCCTAAAAATCAGTGTCCATTCTATCCCATTGCTCCCACCTCAGAGGACGAGGTAATCTGTCTCAAATGCCAAAGCTCAGCCCCTTTACCTATGTCCCTGTTATCATCCATTCCCAAGACCTTACCCCATTGAACATCAACTGTCTTAATAAAATCTTTAATTTTTCTTTCTTAACTTGCTTCCTCTCCATTGCCTACAATATGCCCAGATCATCCCTATCCATAAGAGTTTCCACTTAACCCTGCTATACTCTCAAGCTTTCTCTTATATCTTCCTTCCCTGTCATCGCCAAACCCCTAGAATAAGCTAAATACTTTTGTTCCCTTTTCTTCCATTCACTATGCACTCCCTTGTGACATGACTTTGAGCCCCACTATTCAACTGAAACTGCTCTTGAGGCTGCCAGTGATATACTAACTGCTAAATCCAATGGGTTTTCTCAGTTCTTGAGATCATAAATCTAAAGCAAAAAAGGCCCCCAGAAACTGTTTAATCTAGTACCTCACTTTACCACGAGAAAACCAAGTCCCAAGAAGGAAAGTAAATGATTTGCTCAAGGTTGTACAGTTTGTGTCTAAGGTAGGATTTGAATCCCAGTTCCCTCCCTCCAGAGGCAATGTGCTTTCCTTTCTACTCTATTTTAAGTACTAATGACCATTCCCTCCTTCCTAGGGTTTTGTAACATTGAATTTTCCTTTTCTTCCTCTCACCTGTCTAATTACTTCTCATTCTCCTTTGCTGGATCATCATCCATGTGTTTGCCTGAAGGAGTGAGAATGCCCCGGGGCTCTGTCTTGAGACCTCATGTCTTTTTTGTCTACATTTTCCCTCTGATTGATCTCATTTCCTCCCATGTGTTCACCCATCTTCTCCAAGGTGAGATATCCAGCCCTCATCTCACTCCCGAGTACTAATTCAGCATTACCAGCTGCCTGCTGAACTTCTCCCTTTTGTGTTTCATAAGCATATTAAACTCAATATATGTTTTTTTTTTTTGGTGAGGCAATTGGGATTAAGCGACTTGCCCAAAGTTACGCAGCTAGTGAGTGTTATGTGTCTGAGGCCTTATTTGAACTCAGGTCCTCCTGACTCCAAGGCTGGTGCTCTATCCACTGTACTACCCAGCTGCCCCAATCTCAATATTTTTAAACAGAACTTATTATCCCTCTCAACCCCCAATCTTGACTCCTCTTCCTTTTCAACATTTCTGTTAGAGGTCCATCCTTCTAGTCCCCCAGGTTCATGACCTCGGCATCATCCTTGACTCTTCACTGTCTCACCTATCCCCCCACCCATATTCAGCCAGAGGCCAAGTCCTATCAACTTTCTCAGTGTCTCATGCCTGTTCCCTTCTCACCACATAAAGCGACAGCCCCAGTGATCACTTCTCCCCCGAGCTGTTGGAGTCGCCTCCTAATTGGTCTTTATGCCTCTAGTCTCTCCCCCTCTTCCGAACATCCTCCATGCAGCTACCAGGAAATCATCTTGAAGTTCACTTCTGATCATGTTCTCCTGTTCAAGAAGCTTCAGTTTGGCTTCTGGGATAAAACACACACTAATCTGTTTGGCTTTTAAAGCCCTTCACTCTCTAGTTCCAGTTTATCTTTCCAGACTGATGACAGATTATTTCCCTGCCACAAGCTCTCCTTTGCAGCCAAACTGTCTTACTTGTCTGTACATGCAAGTCTATCTCCCAGCCCCATGGCTTTGCATGGGCTATGCCCCCTTCTGTAGGAGTCCTCCCATTTGTTAATCCTCCTCCTCCCCCGAAATCACTTTGTATTTATTCTGACACATTTTGCATATACACATTGTGTATACATTGTTTACCCCCAGGAGAATATGATCTTCTCAAGCTATTCACGTAGTAGGCATTCAGTAAATGGGAGTCAAGTTGAATCGAATTAATCAGGTAATTTATGCCTCTGGATAGAGAAGGTCTAGGTAATTTTGGCTGGTCTATGGGATTGAGATTCTTGGCATAGATAATAAAATTAGGTTGAAGTAAAATAACACAATTTAGAGATACAGACTAAGAGTTTTGTGTCAGATTTTTAAAATTCTCTACTTTTTTGTCTTTTAGGTTGCAAATATTTTATGTATGTTTCTAAACAAGGTCATAAAGTCCAAAAGAAGAGTATTAAAACAATGAAGAAATTTGTGATGAAGCACAATATCTTAGATTCAGAAGAACTCTAGTGTTATAGAATTATGGTATAATGAAGAGATCATTGGAGTTAGGATCAAAAGACCTGGATTTGTGTCCCAGTTTTGACATCTGTGTAATCTTGAGAAAGTCTCAACAGCTTTGAGACTCAGTTCCCACATCTATAAAATGAGGGAAATAATATTTTCTCGTCAGCCTCATAAAATGACTGTGAAGAAGGCACTTTATGAAAGTAAAGTATTATAAAAATGTGTACACAAAGTACTTTGGTTAAATGAAGCAATCTTCAGATCTTCAGAAAAAACTATTTTTCTATGTTAAAATTATTGTAATCAGTTTTGCAAAGAAAACTTGTTTCAGCATAACTGTAGCTTCACTGTAACTATAATGTTTGTTATATGTTTCTGATTTTTTTATGGAATAATAAAATAACTTATTTGAGAAGGAATGCTCTCTTTGTTAAGTAAGTCCATGTTTTATATCTGGTGATGAGATGCAGTGTGAGTCACTGGGGGTTCTCCCAGGCTGAGTGGAGTGTATTCCTGAGAGTAAACCTGAGAGAAGGACCCAAGAAGCACTGTTGGTGCTGTCTGTTTGGGATAAAATGAAATTTGGATTCCATTTTGGTTCATCTGAGTTATCCTTCAGGTTAATTGAACCATCAGTGAGGTAGTTTTTCTAATATGAGGGAGTGTAAACATCATCTGGTATCATTTGTGAGTGTTTTGAGTAAGCAAATACTTCAGATATTATAGATTATATCAGTTTGTCAATTGGAATAACATTACAAGGGCAGTTAGAGAAAATGTTATAAATGAAAGACCTGTCCCTGGGCAGCTCCAGTTTGGGCTAGAAGAGATTAAAATAGGAAGAGAAAGGGGCCAATGAAATTCTCCTAGGCTGAAAGCTTTCCCCTATGGTATTGGTTAATGAACTTCCTGGGCCACTCCCAGCACTTGTTTTCTGAATGTGGAGGGCTTCTCCAGGTAGACAGGGTAGAAGACCACTTTCCAGACTGATTGAATAACAGGGTTTACTCCTATTCATATGTATTTTGAATAACAGAGTTTACTCCTATTCATATGTATTAACAGTGATACTACAAAATTGTATTGCCTTAGGGTAGTACTACATGGAAAATTGATATGCTTCTGTGGATCTGTTGTCAATGGGGATCATCTCTTCAATGGTATAAATTGAAATCCATTGATATTTTCTTATTCTATGCAATGGCTTTGTATTTTCCTATAAATCTTCCATAGAAGATCATCCAAATATGTTGGTACCCATCCTTTGTTCCTAGATGGTGATAGAGAGTCCTTACTCAGCCCCTGAAGAAGAGGGGCAGATTCTTAGCAAGAGACACCTAAAATAGCAGAGATTTGGTATCTCTCCCCTCCGCCCTGAAGTTTCCAGAGAGAAGGCTATCCTGGCTGGTGCCACCAAGTCAGCTAGGGGATCCCTTTTCCGAGTAAACATTTACTATAGTTATGTGAATTTACCTTCTCTATGTCATCAGAAAGCAAGTCACTTCCTGACAGTGTCACCCCTTAATTCCCTAAACCTTTTCTGGGAAGGAGTTTCCCAGGGGAAATGGGGATCTGAGACATATCCCACAGGTATAGAGTCTTTTGAGGGGTCATAGATCGCAAGGCTTCAGTGACTGTGTTACAGAGATAGAATAAGGAAAGGCTGGAGAGGGTCAGTCAGAGCTATGACCAAAATCAGTCTGATGTCAGATAAATCTTTCTGGAGGCTGAATCCAAGCCACTAATGGACCAGTTTTCCCCATTCTCCCCTTATTAGGATGGTGGTGATTCATCTTGGACATAGCCTGCTGGGAGATGGAACACACCTGACTGGTACTCAGGGTCATAATGATCAAACTGCTGGTTAGCAGAGAAAAACTTTTGTCTTCAGTTAAGGGAAGAGGGCCCATTTGCTGGTTAGGTGTGGGTCCAAGACTATCCAAGATAAATGGGCTCTCCAACAGGCATAAGGGAACCCAACTGGGCAGAAGTAGCTGCTTCATCCTTAATTAGGAGGATTATGTGGTCTGAGGCCAGACCTGTCATACACATACACACCCAGCATACATAGCTCCCGAATCCAGATTGCCAATTGATCTACTCCTGAACTTTTGCCATTTTAATGACATTTTTACTTTAGTAGAGAGTGCTGATGTGTTCTCCAAACAACTGTCGGTGGAAGGCATCAAAAAAATTCCTTCGTTGGTCCAGATCTGAAGGAGTGAGCCTTTGATAGTCGCAAAATGTTCTCTCCAGGCCTCTGACCCATGACCACCACCCAAGGTAAATGAAGATCTTAACTGATTTGTATTTCAAAATTATCTCAGATACCAGCCCTACGGCTTACCCCTTAGCCTGCTGAGAGGACCAATAGACTCTTCCATCCCTCAGGGCATCCTCCATTATTAGGTTAATGGTTGCTGAGATCCAGTTGTCAATCAGAAGTATTGGTGAACCAGGCAAAACTGTTTCTCTGAAGCCAGGTCCTTGTAGGCCTATTGGACTAGTAGAGGAGGCAAGACAGGACTGGGACCAGAGGCCTCAGCCTCTGGCAGAGTTAAAATCTGTTCCTGAAGGATGTTATCACCTAAGAGCCAGGGGCAAGCATTATCTTGAATGTACCATTTCTATTTAGAGTGTGGGGATGTGAATATTCTGGATTGTGTCCAGAATTATCTGGGCTCATTCCTTCCATTGTATGCTTCCAAACTTAACATAGTTAGTTAGATTTTCTTTGGGTTGATTTCCATCCATCTCTTTATCCCTCAGATGGGTGGCCATCCAATGTAAGGCCTCTCCCACCATGGCCTCATATACCTCCATCACCATATGTCATCAATGTAGGACTGTATATTAATACCCCCAGGAAGTGGGGCCTGTTAATACTATCCACCATGGTAGTAGAAAAGAGAGTTATGGTAATCTTGGGGAAGATAGTGAAGCCATAGTAGACTCCTTCCCAGGCGAAAGGGAATTGCTAGCCTCAACCATAGCAATAGAGAACATGTTATTAGCAAGATTAACAAACCCCATATTACTTACTAGGGGCCTAAGCTATCTGGTCTGTCACAATGGTGACAATTGTCACAGCCTTGACAATTGGAATGGCAATTTTGTTCAATATCCTATAGTTCACTAATAGCTTACAGGTGCCATCTGTCTTCCTCACTGGCCTTACAGGGTTACTGTAATGGGAACTGATAAACCAAAGTACCCTGGCCACCATTTCTATTATCAGAAAGGAAGTAGTTTTCATTCATCTCAGGACCCAGGACTGTTTGCTATTAACTACACTGGCTAGCTCCGGTATCTCCAAAGGTTTCCATTTATTTGTTTTTATTTTTTAATTTTTATTTTTTAATTAATAACTTTATTTATTTTTTGTTTTCAACATTTACTTCCACAAGATTTTGAGTTCCAATTTTCACCCCATCTTGCCCCTCCCTCCACCCCAAGATGGCATGCATTCTGAATATTCCTTCCCCTAGTCTGCCTTCCTTTCTATCTCTACCCCGCTTCTCTTATCCCCTTCCCCTTCAGTTTTCCTGTAGGGCAGGATAGATTTCTGTACCCCATTTCCTGTATTTCTTATTTCCCAGTTGCATGTGAAAACAGTTTTTTTTAAACATGTGTTTTTAAAACTTTGGGTTCCAAATTTTCTCTCTTCCTCCCTCCCCACCCATCCTCATTGAAAAGGCAAGCAACTCAGTATAGGTTATACATGTGCAGTTATGCAAAACACTTCCATAGTAGACATGCTGTGAAAAACTAACTCTATTTCACTTAATCCTATCCCACCCCACCCATTTATTCTATTCTTTCTTTTGACCCTGTACCTCCTCAGAAGTATTTGCTTCTGATTACCCCCTTTCCCAATCTGCCCTCCTCTCTATCATCTCCCTACTCTTTTGTCCCCTTCCCCTCCCTATTATCCTATAGGGTAAGATAGATTTTCATACCCAGTTGAGTGTGTTTGTTATTCCCTCCTTAAATCAAATCCTATGAGAATAAGATTCACTCATTCCCTCTTGCCTTCCCCTGTTTCCCCTCCACTGTAACAGCCTTTTCTATTCTGTTTTTTGTGAGATAATTTACCCCGTTCTACCTCTCCCTTTCTCCTTCTCCTAGTATAATCCTCTCTCACTGCTTAATTTTATTCTCCAGATAAGACCCCTTCATCTTCAACTCACCCTGTGCCCTCTATCTATCTGTATCTATATATACATACATATAATTTTTCCCCTCCAACTACCCTAATACTGACAAAGGCCTCATGAGTTACAAATATCATCTTTCCATGCAGGAATGTAAACAGTTCAACCTTAATGAGTCTCTTATGATTTCTCTTTCCTGTTTATCTCTTCACGTTCCACTTGAGTCTTGTATTTGAAAGTCAAATTTTCTATTCAACTCTTGTCTTTTCATTAAGAATGCTTGAAAGTCCTCTATTTCACTGAATGACCATTTTTTGCCCTGCAGGATTATACTTAGTTTTGCTGGGTAGGTGATTCTTGGTTGTAATCTATCTCCTTTGCCCTCTGGAATATTATATCCCATGCCCTTGGTCCCTTAATGTAGAAGCTGCTAAATCTTGTGTTATCCTGATTGTGTTTCCACAATACTTGAATTATTTCTTTCTGGCTGCTTGTAATATTTTCTCCTTGACCTGGGAACTCTGGAATTTGGCTACAACATTCCTAGGAGTTTTCCTTTGGGGATCTCTTTCAGGAGGAGATGGGCGGATTCTTTCAATTTCTATTTTGCCCTCTGGTTCTAAAATATCAGGGCAGTTTTCCTGGATAATTTCTTGAAAGATGATGTCTAGGCTCCTTTTTTGATCATGGCTTTCAGATAGTCCAATAATTTTTAAATTCTCTCTCCTGGATCTATTTTCCAGGTCAGTTGTTTTTCCAATGAGATACTTCACATTGTTTTCTAATTTTTGATTCTTTTGGATTTGTTTTACAGTGTCTTGATTTCTCATAAAGTCCCTAGCTTCCAATTGCTCTATTCTAATTTTGAAGGAAGTATTTTTTTCAGTAAGCTTTTGGACTTCCTTTCCCATTTGGCCAATTTTGCTTTTTAGGGCAGTCTTTTCCTTATTGGTTCTTTGGACCTCTTTTGCCATTTGGGTTAGGCTATTTTTTAAGGTGTTATTTTCTTCAGTATTTTTTTGGGTCTCCTTTAGCAAGTTGTTGACTTGTTTTTCATGATTTTCTTGCATCACTTGCATTTCTCTTCCCAGTTTTTCCTCTACTTCTCTTATTTGCTTCTCAAAATCCCTTTTGAGCTCTTCCAAGGCCTGGGACGGATTCATATTTTTCTTGGAGGCTTTGGATGTAGGAGCTTTGACTTTGTTGTCT